TTCCCTTCTTCTGGAGCCCGGGGCACCCCACACAGGAGCAGGCGTAGTAGGGTCCCCAGCCAGGAAGTGTCAGAGTCAGGATTCAAGTCCAGTTTTGAGGCCTAGCTGTTGGCTGCTGGGAGGGTGCTGGGGGTGGGAGTAGTAGCCGGGGCCATGGGACACAGGGAGCTCTGGGTTTGGAAACTGGAATCGCCTTAGCACCAGCCTCTCTCTGCTCCTACCTGGTTCCCTGACTCCATTTCCTCTCCTCTCCTGCCTGCTCCTCCCCTGCTGTCCCTAAGAAAACACAGCCTGTGGCCAGCTCCTGGGGTGGGGGAGCTAGTGGCTCCAAACCCTGGTTGAAGCATGCCCACATCACTGCCCTGGCATCTCATCCCATCACAAATGGCTTTTGGGAGTTTTGCAGATTTTGGCTTCATGTTCGAAAGCTCACCGGGTGGCAACCTCGGCTGGGAACCAGACATAAAGCTGACAGATGAGATGGTGATGATCATGGGGGGCAAGATGGAGGCCACGCCCTTCAAGTGGTTCATGGAGATGTGTGTCCGTGGCTACCTGGCTGTGCGGTAAGCCGGGCACCAATTCTCAGTGCCACTCATCTAGCAAGGCCAGCTCCTCAGAGGTCCCATGGGGCCTTCACAGGCCCCTTTGTGGATACAGGGACTGAGGTTCAGAGAGAGCAAGGGAGGTGCTGGAGCCGCCTGGGCCCGCGTATGCCCAGGCCTTGCCTTCCAGTGCCTCTCTTTTCCCACCTGCGCCAGTACCTTCTGTCCAGCCACATTCTGCAAACTCCTGGGCTTGGCTTCACTTGCCAGTGCCTGTGGGTCCCTTTTAAGCACCCCATTCACCCTTTTCACCCAAGCCTGAGCACCTGCTATCCCCAGACTGCACACCAGAGATTCACTGTCCTGGTTTTAGAGTGTCATGTGGCCAAGCCACAAAGCAGTGTGTGCTGACACTTAGACTCCAACCCAGAGTCTGTCAGAGCTTACATCACACCTGCTCGTGCCCACCGCCCCACAACAAAAGGAAGGTCGGGACATCTTTGTGCTGCAGCCCACACTTCTTCAGCTGGGCAGAGAAACCATGGCCAGAGGCCTCGGGTGGGAGCAAAGCGGGACTGCTCAGGTCCTTCAGGGGAGTGTGAGCAGCCCCAGCCTGTGGGCTGCAGTGCCTCCCTGGGAGATGTGAAAGGCCGCAGGGAGGTGGGGGGAGCCAGCATGTGAGCGGCTGTCAGGCAGCAGCCGGGCTGCAGGACTGTAGGCGGGGCCACCCCGCTCGCCGGGCTCTGCTCACCTCCTTCCCTGTGTCTCCTCAGGCCCTACATGGATGCGGTCGTCTCTCTGGTCACCCTCATGTTGGACACGGGTCTGCCCTGCTTCCGTGGCCAGACAATCAAGCTCTTGAAGTAGGTCTTAGGCAAACATACAGGCCATTGGGGGGCAGTCGTCCATGGAGATGGGAGCCTATTGGGTGGGGGTAACTGAATCTTAATGAGGCTGAGTACTCTCCTTGGAACCCCAGAGCAGACAGATTTCCTGGGTGAGGCGTATCACCAGACTGTGCTTCTGCCAGTCATAGCTGAGGACATGCCCAGATTCTTTTCTCAGGGATGCAGTGCTATCCCTGGGCCCCAGAGCCATAGTGACTTAGCCCCCTTGCTCATCCTCCTCCAGCCATGGGGCTGCTTAGCCCGAGAGGTGCTGGGGAAGGGAACAGAGCCCTCTAGGCTAGCTGGAAACTGTCTCCACAATAAGTGAGGCCTCACTTTCACAACACTGTCCCCATGAGGGAACATTCCTGGGCCTGACCCTCAGCTGAACAGATTCTCACAAATGCCTGTTGGCAAAGGCAGGAACATGTCCCTTGGGGAGGTCAGTCTGGTGGGAGCGACTCTGACGACAGTGGCCCTGATGTGAACTCTTCCCCAGGAACAGGTTCAGCCCCAACATGACCGAGCGAGAGGCTGCAAATTTTATCATGAAGGTCATTCAGAGCTGCTTCCTCAGCAACAGGTGAGTCATCCCCACCTGCCCTCCCTTCTGCCTCACCCACCACACACCGGTACAGTCTGGGCACCTATGTGGGGCCATGCCTGGGCCAGGTGACAAGGAAGCTGATGGATGGCTCAGGAGATTCAGTTCCACACACCCCGAAGGGAGCTTTCTCAGGGTGATGGGGTGCTGGTGTAGAGGGAAACACCTGGCAGAGGCCTGGAGGCTGAAAGCTGTGCCCCCACCCCGGTGCCAAGTCTGTTAGGGTAAGGGAGCCATAGGTGCAAAAGGCCTCCAGGGAGGTATGTGCGGCCCAGAAGGGCCAGTTAAGGAGCATTGGCAGGAGTGACAAGGTGGTGACTAGCCAGTCAGCCATTGCTGTGAGCGATGGCAGAGCTGCGTGACGAGGTGGGCTTGGATTCTGAAGGTGGAGCCCCAGGCTTCCCTGATGGGCTCCCAGAGGGTGTGATAATCAGAGATGGATGGCAGATGGCGTTGAGGTGTCTGGGCTGAACAACAGAGTGGACGTGATTCCAGCAGGTGGGTGAGGCGAGCCACCCACACAAGAGCTACCTACACACATGGGGTTGGTTGAGGCTCCCGAGAAGTGCAGAGACGGCTGGAGTCTGAGAGGAAGACCAGAACTGGTCCTGGTTAGGGCCCTAACAAGAACAGGAAAAGACTGGGTGGGGACAGGCTGGGCTGTGAGGTAGCTTGGTGTGGGGAACGTGACATCTCTGAGTCAGCAAGAGGGGTTTGAAAGGCAGTATGAGGAATATCTCTTCTGATTATTTGTTTTGTTGGTAAAATAAGAAAGGACGCTGAGCATGGCCTCACTCCTTTGGGTACCACACACCAGGCCAAGGGGCTGGAGTGGCGTCTGCCACAGGGCAGCTCCTACAGACGGACTCCTGGGTCCCCAGTGCCTGGGCCCCAGGACCAAGGGCAGGTGTTTGGCTGAGGAACGGCCGTCCACTCGAGTCTACATTCCGGGCCCACTGAGTGTGAGGTGGCCTCAGAGGAGGCCGAGCAGGAGATGGGGCAGAATGGGACTCGCATGGCCATGGTCACTGGTCGGGAAAGGAATGTTCCAGGCAGAGGAGGGGCTTGCGGGGAGGCCAGAGGGTCTGCCAGTTTGCATTCACACTTCCAGGGAGGGTAGCAGTGTGGACTCCCAAGTGCAGCTGCCAGGGTGAAGGAGATGTGTGGGGGGCTCAGAGGGGCAAGGGGCCCTAGAATGGCACAGGCTCCTTACAACCTCCCTTTACTCTCGGCCTTCCAGGAGCCGGACCTACGACATGATCCAGTACTATCAGAATGACATTCCTTACTGAGGGTGGCGTCAGAGCATCAGCTGTCGTGGCTCCCCTACCCAAGCTGTCCACAATCATGGAGCTGTGCAAGCACTTCCCCACCCCCCTGCTGTGCAAGGTCAAAGGGTGTGAACTGTTCACGGCCATTTTCATGCAATGGAGTTATTTTCATAGGACATACAGGACAAAAGAAGTGCACCCCTGCAGAGCCTGGCCCCCCACTCCTTCTTTAGGTGTGGCCCACATGTGGCATGTGAGACTGAAACGACAATCATCTGATGGCACTCTCTCTGCTTGGGTGTGAATAATTTGCACTGAACACATTCCCTACCTATCTTATTTCATAGGTACATGAAGTATTTTCTAGTGTATAAAAAAAAAAATTATGTTCAACTTAAGGTTTAACCAACATGGAGAAAATAATCAACAAAAGTGTTGTGTCGAACTTGAATATCAGGTTTATTGTCAAGTCCTAAGTGCACATTCAGCTGAGGGGTGATTCCTAGATGTGCTGGGAAGACAGCAGGGCAGTGTTTCCTCTCCAGAGTCCTGAGACAAAAGGTGGGTAAGGGCCGGCCAGCTGCGGAGCCTGCATTCACAGGCCTTCCAGGGAACCCCTAAGCTAGGACTGGCCACCACGCAGGGGGACGTCAGGCATTGCATGTGCCGAAGGGGTCAGGGCCGGGCACCCTGATTATGAGCTTCACAAAGACGACTCACCACAATGCAAATGTACCAAAAATAACATTGCAATCTCCCTCCCTAACTGCTCTTTTCCACTCCAAAGCTGTCTCCACAGAGGGCTCCTGTGGAGGCCATCTGGCCATCCTGTCCACATCTCTGTGTCCTGCTTCTGCTCCAGTCTTTTCTTGTTTCCCTCTCATTCATGTTTAAGTTCTCTGTTCTGAGAATCCGAAATCTTTGTGCCACTAGCCCCCAGCAGCAGCTGTCTATTCCCACCCACTACAACCCTCGAATTATTTTAAGACCCAAACCTAAAAAAAAAAAATCTAGAAATAAGTTAAACGGCAGATATAGAGGAAGAAAAAAACAATCAATGAGAAACAATTTTAAAAGAAAAGTTGAATGAGAAGCCCTTATCAACTTCTAATGGGATTCCAATGAGAAGCCCTTATCAACTTCTAATGGGATTCCATAGTTGGTAAAAAACAAATACTAAGCTTCAGGGAGCACACTTGAGTCCTGAGCAGTATAAATAAACATAAATAAGCTAATATGTAAGTTAAAAGGAACTCTTAAAAATATTACATTAATCAAAAAAGTCAGAAAAGGAAAGAAAGAAGAAAAAATGACAGATGGGACAGAAATCATGCAATCGTAGACTTCAATCCAACTACATCAATAATTATATCAATGGGCTAACCACTCCAATTAAAAGGCAAGGATTAGAAACATAGATAAAAACATGAAATGATTGCACTTAAAATATAAAGACCTAAGGTGAAGTTAAATAGAGGAAAAAAGAACCATAATCATGTGAGTTGAATGTTCACGAAGCAATATTTGACAGAATTCAAGGGAGAAAATAACTCCACAATCAGAGTTGGAGATTTTAACCTCTCTCTCCACAATTGATTAGAACAACTGGCAAGAAAGTAAACACAGGAGACCTGAACAACTGTATTATCCATCTTCACCTGATAGGCATTTATAAAACTTACTATACATCAGCAGTAACAACGCACCATCTCTTCACCATCACAGGCTGTTCGAATGATTCAGAGAATGTCCTCTGATTACATGGAATTAAGTTACGTATCAATAACAAGAACCCTAAATATTTAGAAATTAAAAGAGTAGAACTAAAATACTAGACAATACATGTAAGATCTTAGGAAATATCAGAGTTAAAATGCTTTAAGGTAGTGTTTGGGGAGGATGGTAGAGATGAGCCAAGTAAATAGGATACCGTCATATAGGGAGTAACTTTCAGAAAGATCCAACAGAAGATAGGAAGAGGGGAGGAAGAGCACAGAAAAAGCAGGATAAGCACATTTTATAAAATAGTAGAAATGCATTCAAACAATAATAGTTAATAAGAGCTTGTCAAATTAGCTTTAAAAAAAAAGTCAAATGTTATGTACAAGATTCCAGCAATATGGCAAATTAATATATCTTGAAAAATTAGAAACTATTTACAATACTGGGGAGAAAATCTAAATCCGTGAGCTGACAAGAAAATAAGGTCTCTAGAGACTGAAATAGAAAATCTTGAGAATAATCAAGTTGCTATTTTGATGATATGGGAAACAAAAGACCTTTGAGGAGTTTGTTAGGGGAGCTCGGTCAGCACTCAAGATAGGGCGTACTGGAAATAAAGCCATGCCCAAAAGACCAGGAACTTTCTGTAAAAAACCCATCATGCTTACAGGTGAAATATTGAAAGCTGCGCCTCCTAGATAAGAATGAGCTGTATATGAGTCTGCTTTATTTCTCTTCAGCTCTAGCCAGTTCAGTCAGGGCATAAAAAGAAAGTTTAAGGTTCTAGAAAGAAAGATAACTCAGAAAATGGCATTTTTGTACATAAAACTCCCAAATCTATAAATGGGATATATAACCAGGGTGATAGGTCACTATGTAAAGTCCTGTGTATGTCTGAAAATAAAAATTCAAATTAGAACTACCATTTACAACTGTATATCAAAACATCAAATACCAAGAAAAACTAAAGAAAGATTCATAAATATTAAAAACTACAAATGTTGAAAGATCTAAACAGAGTAACATTCTTGGACTGGAAGACTCAACATTATACAGATGTTTGTTCTCAAACTGATCTGTGGTTTCACTGCATATGCCAATCAAAATTCCAGAAAGTTGTGTAGTGGAAATTGGCAAGTCTGAAATTTATGTGGAAATGCAGAGTCAAAATAAAACCTTTCTGGTATTGAAGATCAACAAACCTAGATATTAAGACCTATCCGGAAGCTACAGTAGTTAAGACGATATGCCTTGCTGGTGCCAGCAAAGGTAGATAAACAATGGGGGAGATAAAGCCCAGGAACTCCCCACAAACAGACATGCAGGGTAGGAGGGGGAAGACAGGCTTTTGAATAATGGTGTGTCAACTGGATATCAATATAGAAAAAAGTTGACTGCTTTTCTCATCTGACATCAAAATCACTTCCAGGTGGCCTATAGAGCTCTATGTTAAACTTTAAAGGCTTTTAGAATACAGAAGAGAATGTCTTGCTGACCTCAGGACACACAAAGGTTTCTTAACCAAAACACTAATAAAGGGCAAAAATTAATTTGGATTGTATTAAAGGCATGCCACAGACCTGGAGAGATATTTGTAATCTAGTTCATATACTTAAATTAATTTGGATTGTATTAAAGGCATGCCACAGACCTGGAGAGATATTTGTAATCTAGTTCATACACTTCTGTGTTAAAGAAAAAATTATTAAGGTGTCATTTTTTTCAACATAAAGCCAACAAGGTAGGTCAAAACATCTTAAGAAATAATGCAATGTTGCTCTTTCTTAAAATAGAAATTCATTTTTAAGGAGGGCAGCAAGGCCCTGACATTAAAATAAGATGAGAACATTCCAAGAAAATTATAGAGCAATGTCCTTCTCGATATAGATGCAAAAATCTAACAAAATATTAGCAAATTGAACATGATGTATTAAATGGACCGTCGTGACCAAATGGGCCTTATCCCAGTAATGCAAGGTTGGATTAATGTTCAAGAAGCAATTAGTGTAATTCACATGAACAGACTAAAGAAGGAACACCATATGATCATTTCAATAGGCAGACAAAATTCAACACCCATTCATAAAAATAGCAAAATAGAAATAGGAACTTTCCTCAACCTGATAAAGATCATCTAAGAAAACTCAGAGCTAACATCTTGATGATGAAATACTAAAGGCATTCTCCCCAAGATCAGGAGCAAGACAAAGGTGTTATCACTTCTAATCAACATTGGGGATAAAGGCAGTAGAGAGACTGGAAAGGAAGAGAAGAAACTGCCCTGCTTCACAGACAATAAAATTGTCTATAGAATGCTGAGGAATGTAAAAGTACAAAAAACAAGGGATTTAAGCAATACTGCAGTACAAAAGGTATACAAGGGCATCGTACAAAAATCAGTTGTATTTCTATATGCTAGCAATGAACAGTTGGAAAATGAAATTCTAAAAATCTATACCGTTCATAATAGCATCCCCAAACATGTAAAAATGTACAAGATCTCTACACTAAAAATTCAAAACGTTGCTGAGGGAAATAAAAAATGGAGAGTAACATCATGTTTGGTGTATTGGAAGACGTAATTCTTGGCAAATTCATCTCAATTCAGTGTAATCACAATAAAAATCCCAGACTATTTTATGGAAATTGACAATTTGAGTCTAAAAGTCATGTGGAAATGCAAAAGATCTTCACATCATAAACCCTAGTGAGTCCCAAGCAGACCAGAGATTGAAATGTGAACTAAGAAACGATGCAAGGGTTGGTAGACACAGGTGAGTTTCCCTAATAACCCAGAAGTGAAGAAAATTACCAAAATCCAGAATCAAGAAGGGAAAGTGAATTAGTTACCAAAACAATATACGGCTAGCAAAAGAATACCATAAACAAAGTGAAAAAAATTGGGAAAATATTTTAAAAAGATCACAAAGTTAAAATGCCTAGTGTAAGAGCTTTAAAAAATTGAGAAAACCTTATAATCCTACATTTTTAAGACAAGCAAATGATATGGACAGTGTACAGAAAAAAATCCAGCCTTTAAATATAAAAAAATAATCTCAACCTTGATCATGAGAGAAATGTAAATTAAAGCTACACTGAAGCGCCATTTCTCACCAGGCTGACAAAAATCCCAATGTGACAATATGCATCATGGGGCAAGGCTGTGGGGAAAGGGCCCTCAGACCCAGCGATGGGCTCTGGGCAATCTAGCAATATCATGAATGTGGTCACCCTCTGGCCCACAATCCTACTTTCAGGAATCAATCTCAAAGCTTCTCTGGCAAAATACAAAAAGATATTTGCAGAAGGCTCCTCGTTCAGGTACTATTTGTAACAGCAAAGCATGGGAATCCACCCACCCACATCACTAAGGTTGAATAAATGGCACACCCATGTTTCCACGCTGCTCTTCTGAGCAAGGTGCTGAAGGGAGGGTAGAGAAGTCCATGTGGTACACTGTTCACGTAAGTAAGGGGAGGAGATGTGACTGTTTATAGTTCACTTATTTAAGGGAAAAAAGGAAGGGAAAAAAGGAATCCATTAAAAAAATGTTTCTAGTGTGGGGGCAATAGGTGGAGGGCATAGGGATACAAGCTAGACTTCCCTAAGATGCCACTTTATGGATTTGACTTTGTAATTATAAGTTATAAAACTTGGAGACTGCAATGCCTAAAAATTGAAAGTAAAAAAATCACACCCATTAGGATGGCTGTTATCAAAACAAGTGTTGGGGAGGATGTGGAGAAATGAGAATCCTTGTGCTCTACTGATGGAAATGTAAAATGGTGCAGCTGCTGTGGAACACGGTACAGCAATTTCTAAAATAAATTAACACAATTACCAATGACCCAGCGAGTCTACTTCTGGGGTATACACCCAAAAGAAGTGAAAAAGGGAACTCACACAATCTGTACACACAAATCTAAAGATGGAAACAACCCAAATGTCCATCAATGGGTGAATAGGTAAAATGCTTACCAACAAAGTGTTACAATGAATGGACAAACAAAGTATTTACACCACTTAAAAATATTTAGAGTATGAGAATATCTTTATGACTTCCAGGCAAGATTTATTATTTTTTTTATGATACAATTCTTAAATTTGATAAAATTTGGTAAGCGGCATTCTATAAATAAATTTAACCCAAAAAAGACTAAAGAGTATAAGTCAATAAAACGATTTTTAAAGTCCATTGTGTGTGTGCACAAGGAGACACATAAAAACAATTTCACTATCAAAAAAAACCTAAGCAATAAAAGTAGAGCAGCATTTGTATCAGACAAAATAAAACCAAGGTTCATCATTTCTACTAAGCAGAACACTTCGCTTAAGTAAAGATTCCCTAGCCTGCAGTCGTGAACACGGATCATACGGTGCTGCACCGGCAGCGAAGCGGACCACGGTGTGGACGGCCCGCATCCCTGCCTCACGGAGAACCCACCCCGAGAAAACCAGCGAAGGGGAGCTACGGGGATCTGAATAAACACCGTGCAGCAGAGCCGAAGGACAGAGATCTGACCGGCCAGCTAGCTGCCCCCGCCCCCCACCGCCCCAAGATCACTAGCAGGAAAAAAGGCAAGTTTAGGAAGCGGGCACTGCCCACCTTCGGAGTTGCCTCCTGTGCAGCAGCAGGGGCCGCCGAGGAGCCCCTTGGTGCGAGCCAGCCCAAACGTGGGCGCCGGAAGAGGGCGCGCCCGGCTCAAGCCGGAGGCCACGATGCCAGGGCCGGTCGCTGGGCCCCGAGGGACACATGACCCTCCGTCCCCCGCCCCGGTGTCTCCTGCCGGCCTCCCCCAGGCGCCCAGAAACCACACGGGAGACAAAGGTGGCTGCGGCCTCGGCCGACGTGATGAGTCCTAGGCGGGCAGCAGCCCGCGCACACGCAGCTCGAGCAGCGGGGACAGCGTGTAGCGCAGGCGGCGGAAGGCGCTGTCCGAGCGGAGGCGCCAGAGCCCGCGGCGGAGGGCGTTGGGGTTGACCACCGCTAGGTAGAGCAGCGGCAGCACCAGGAAGCCGAGCGGGAGAAGAAACAGCGTCTGCAGCGCGCTCAGCACCCACAGCCTGCGGACCGGTGGATGCACTGAAGGACAGACCCGCGGTGGTCCGCAGGACACGTGCAGGGGGGCGGACCCCGGCCCCGCGCGCCAGCTGCCCGCCCTCTAGCTCACCTGATGCCTGCGCCACGGAACAGCCGCTTCTGCTGCGGGGAGAGAAGGGGCGTCCAGCTCCATCGCAAGCGCGCGGCGCGGGGTCTCACGAAGGGGCGGGTAATCAGTCCCCCGGGAATTGAGGGTGTCTCTCGTGGGGGGCGAGTCCAGTGAGTGTGCGAGAGGGGGCGGGGGCCGTTGGGGCGGATCTGACGGGCCCCCGTGGGGAAACGGGCCCGCGTGAGTGTACGGTATCCCCGTGGGGGCGTGTACCGACTCCAGCCCTCCCCGGCCCGGCGCGTGCTCACACAGTCGGCCTTGGCCACCTCCTCCATGAGGGAGCCCGCGTAGTCCTGCACCCGGCGAGGAGGCTGAGAGTCGCAGCTGCGGGAACAGGCGTCGAATTGGACGATCTGTCCCAGCCACAGTCGCCCCGCCATACCCAACAGAACTAAATCCCTTACAGGTCCAGACCGCCCCGCAAGGCGTCCAGCGCAGCCGCCGCTTCCATCACCTTACCCTGCAGCTCCTGGAAGGGGTCGGAGTGGGGTCTCAAGACTAGGGAAGGCCTGGGGAGGGGGAGGTCGGGGTGGGATGGGGGACAGGCCGTTGCCGCTCTGGGGTAGGAGGAGTGGAGGTCGTAGTGGAGTTGGAGGTGAGCGGTTCTCGAAGCGGAGTGGGGCAGCACCTGCAGCACTCCGCTCTGCTCTTGGAAGCTGGCCCAGGCCTCCTCCGTCCGTTGTGCGCCCTGGGGCGCGGGAAGCCTCGATTAGACTCGGGAAGACACACCCTCTTTCCACCTTCCAGCACCTGCCCAGCCTCAACCCACACCCGAAGCCGACCCTCCCCCTCAGACGCCGGCTCCGCCCTCACCTTCCGCAAGCCCTCCGCCTGTATGGCGTGCTTGGCCTCCAGCAACTCCACTTGTTTCTTCAGAAGAGCCAAAGAATGTCAGGAGCCTGGCACACCCTCCATCCTGCTGCGCCTCTGGTTGGCTGCCTTGGCCCTCAAGACCCCGCTTGTCACCGCGGTTCCCAGGTTGTCAGGGCCTCGCCCAAGTCCCGGTTGTGCCCGCCCCCGGCCCTAGGGGCCCCGCAGGGAGCCGCCCCACTCCCAGGTGGTTATGGCTCCGCCCATGCTGCCGCTCCTACCCTCAGGGCCCCACCCAAGCACCTGCAGCGCCATCAGTTGGGCCCCGAGTTGCTGCTCCGCACGCTGCTGACTTAATTGTTCTCCTCCGTAGTAGAAGAGCTGAGGGTGGAGCTTTGTAAGGATGGAGTTTGCGGAGATTCTAGGGGCGGGGTGTATATTGGGAGGCAGGAACCCGGCGGAACCGAGGCAGAGACTAAAGCGGGACTTCCTAGGGGAAGCAAGAAACGGGACATCTGCTGACTGTACCTGACTTGATAGCTCTTCCCACTGCTCCTGCAGCTGTCGGTTGTGTTGCTCCTGCGGAGGATCGAGGGGGCGTCCTGGGCCTCACCGAAGTACTGTCCTCACTGCCAGCACTGCCCACCCCACCCCGCGTGCCCTGCCCCGTCAATGGCGACACCCTTACCGCAGGCACCGCCCCATCCAGGACACCGCCCTCTCCAACGCACCCCCCGCCATCCAGGGCCGCGCCCTCTCCGAGGCACCACTGTCTCCGCAGGCACTGCCCCATCCCGGGCCATGCCCTCACTAGGTCTTGCTTGCGCTGCTCCGCAGCCTCCAGCAGTCCGCGGGCCCGCTCCGCGCGCTCCCGCGCCGCCGCGCGCGCCTCCCCGCGCAGGACCCTCGCAGTCTGGCTTCGCCTCCGCTGCAGGCTACAGAGGGGAAACTGAGGCGGTGCCACGGCGAGAGGAGGCGGACACTCAGGTCCCCTGCGCCCCGGGGAAGAACCAACTGTGGCTGGGCCGAGGAAGCCCACGTCGGGTCGCTACACTTTCCATCGTGGGCCCTCTGAGATCACCCCGGTCTCCACGGCTTAAAGCAAAGGTTCGGGCCCGGGGTTCGGGAGAGTAACCAACGGATTGGCTAGATTCTGCTAAGCCCCGGCTGCGGCCACCTGCAGTGCAGACCATAGCGCGCCTGCCCCGCGGGTGGAGCCGAGCTCCCCGCGCACCTGCGCTCGCGCTCGCGCAGGTCCTGTAGGCGCCCAGTGAGGCTCTCGCTCTCAGCCTCGAGCCCGCGCACCATCTCCTCCAGCTCCTGCTTCCGCAGACGCCCGTCGCGGTTGTCCTTCTGCAGCTGCAGGAGCAGCTCCTGTGTCTCGGCCATGGCTCTCCCCGACTCTGCCCCTGCTGCCTGCCTGGGGGTACAGCACACGGCCCGCGTCACAATGAGCAGCAGGGGGCGCCGGAGCGAAGATCCCTAGCCGAGCCAGACGCGAGTCAGGCGGGATCACACTTTGTCATTTGCTCATTCATTCATTTAAATATTATTTATTGTCCTTCACAGAAGAGCTACAATCAGATCTATAAAATTTAATAAAATAGTGTTACCTAATGCAGAAATTTTGAGGCAAGATTTGTTCCCCCACATTATAGATGGCACTTGCAAACGGATTAATCTCTCTTGTGGAAAAGACAATAATATATATATCAAGATTCTAAATATGTTCATATCTTTTTACCCCACTCCTGGGAATTTGTACCAGGAATAAAAATATTTTTTAATTATTACGCATTAAGTGGTCCACTGAAGTGGTTACAGTAATCACAAAAAGGAAACAGTTGTAATTAAAATACTCTTTGAATATTACTGTGGCATGTATAAAGATATGATGATGTTTAGTGAAAAAAGTAGACTATGATTTAGCATTTATGCTAAAATAACTAAGATTATAAGGTATACGGACAGGATCTTTAAAGAAAACAGAAGACAAGCTATTTCATTGTTTGGCGAGACTAGGTAAACTTATCCTTTTAAAATCTGCTTTTATTTAGCCAATTTCAATTATGAACTTGGACACAAAAATCCTAAATAATTAGCTAACCAAATCCAAAGAGATGCATTAAAAAAGGTACATGCAAACCAAGCAGAATTTATTCCAGGGATTGATCAAGACCAGAGAACCCATGTCATTCACCACATGGACAGAGGAAGAACATCCATGTTGTAGTGGTCCTTTTCAATAGATGCAGAAAACAGCATAGAGTTCAACTTCTATTGATAATATTAAAAGGGCTTTTCAAAGAGGGATAAAAAGAGACTTTTTAACCTCATGAAGGCTACTTAGTAAAAACGTGAAGTAAAAAAATAGTGTGGATCAACTAAAATGATCTAGGATCAAATAAAGTCAACATGAAGAAACCCGAAAATAATATAGATGATAAAATAAAAGGAAGTAGAATGAGATGTACCCATAATATTTACATAAACTAAATACATAGAGTTAAATTGAGGAGGTGAGGACAAGGAGGAGAACAGGATTGAGGATGAGGGGGCCATGCACGAACCTTGGATGAGGACAAGGGTCATGCATGCTGTCCCTGGGGCCATCGGAGGGCCACAGGGAGGGTGGACTCTGCAAGTGACAACTCCATAGATGCCAGTGAAGTTTTAGGAAGCCTGCTATATCTAAGAACTAAGTCTCTTCTCACTAATGTTGAGAAATGTAAGCAAGACTGAAGTCACTTACTTATAGATTAAAAACGACCACAAATGTTCTGCAGTCCTGCCATCAGGAGGTAGAGCCTGTTTCCCAGCTCATGAATCTCATGTCTTGATCTGACCAATAGAAGGAGGCAGAAATGACGTGTGAGCCTGGGCCTCAGCGTCCTTGCAGCCCCTCTTGCCTCTTAAAACCATAGGGAAGAAGCCTGGTGGGCTGGCAGCCACCTCAGATCACACAGCCCCAGATGGCCCTGAGATGACTGCAGACCCCAGGCAAGATCTGCAGAACTACACAGCTCAGCCCCGCGGAGCCTGGCCCAAGTTGCTGACCCAAGAGAATTAAGAATAAAATGGCTCTTGTTTTAAGCCATTGAATTTTGTGGGTGGTTTGTTTTGTTTGCAGCACAAGGTCTGTTTTGTAGCAAAGGATTACGAGTTACTAGGTGGTAATTGTATGAATATGACACCATGCAGTAACCAGGCCACTAGCAGTGGGGGTGGGCAACTTTATTCTTGGCTTCTCCTTTGTTGGAATCTGTCGCCTAGAGTTCAAAGGTGAACCCCAGGTGGGATGGAGTGGGGGCAGGAACAGAATGGGGGGAGGGTAGGAGCTGTGCTTTCTCAGTGTCCACCTCCTTAGGCACGTGATTCTGTGAACTCCTTCGACCCTTCCATCATCGAAGAGGTGGCACTTAAGTCCTCAGTTTGCACAAGGACACGAGGGTGCATGAGTCCCCCGAGGCCCCCCTACCACCTCTAGATTCAAACTCAGATTGATCTGAATCCAGAGAATGTGCCTCTGATTTTTACTTTTCCCACCTGTTGAGTGTCCATACCTCGGCCCTGGCATCTGCTTCTGTTCTAGGTCCCCACAGATTTAATTTCCAGACTCAGGTTGTAATATGGGCCACCCTCAGCAGGACAGACAGGTTTATGGAGGGGGGGGGTATTATTGTTTTTTGCTGTTTTTCTCTCCCAAAGGGCAGGGAGCAGATTCTGCTCTTCATCAGCGTGAGGCCAGGGGAGTAAACGACTGTTTAGTATCAATCATTTCTTTTCTAGATAAACTACTGAACTGTCTTGTCAAATTCTCCCAAGTACCTTGTTAGGATGTGTATTGAGGTTGCAAAATGTCCCCTACATTAAGTCTATCAAAAGGGGAGAATGGTCACTTTTCTCTCTTCAGTGATCTGCTCCAAGAACAGAGCATTTCAGTCCAATCCTGCAAGTCTTCTTTCAGCTTCTGTCATTTTCAGACAGGGTTAGCACATTTATCAAGGTTATGACTGTGTAGCTTGTGTTTTGCTATTATGAAAAGGCTCTTTTAAAAAACATTTTCTAAATGACAATCGTGGCATATATGTGTTATGGGTTGAATTGTGTCCCCCACCCCAATTCACTTGCTGGAGCCCTAACCCCTAGTACCTAAGAACGTGACCTCATTTGGAAATAGTGCTATTGTGAACATGATTGGTTAAGATGAAATCATATTGCAGTGGGTGACCCCAAATCCAATGTGCCTGGTGTCCTTATAAAAAGGGGAGATTGAATACAGAGATGAGATGCATGCAGGGAGAACCCCCTGGTTGAGCCAGGCCAGGACAGACCCACCCCTGTTGCCTTTGCGGGGAGCAAGCCCCTGCTGACACCTTTATCTTAGATCTCCAATCTCTAGAACCATGAGAAGCAAGCTGCTGTTGTTTGAGCCACTCAGTCTGCGTGCGGTAGTTTGTCATGGGCACGTGACACACTAACACGCTATGCCACACCACGTTTGCCTGTGATGGGCCCAGCCACTCTCATAGTTGTCCAAGTGGCTCTGTCTCTAGATGTAGCCAGGAGTGGGCTCAGCATGAGCAGCATCCTGCAGGGGAAGGGGCCCAGGACTTACTGGTGACAGTAAGGACAAAGCACCTGGGGGCTGGGGTAAATTAGCACAGGCCGCTAAGAGCAGTAGGGACTATGTCCGAGTTTTACACGGCAGCGTCACAGAAAGACCCTCTTATGGAGTGGCCATGGGTGCAGGGCCCGCAGCGGGTGCTAAGAAGGGGAGACCGGGGAACTGAAGAGAGCCTGCGGCAGATCCAGCAAGACCGTGCGAGACACCGATTAGGTGTGAGCACCTCTCGTTGGCTGTCTGGGAGTGAAGCGCTTTCCAGCTTGGGGACTTTCTCAGACTGTGGGGGGTGGCAATGGCAGTGTTTCAGTCTCGAACTCGGTGCCTCAGTTTCTTTACCTGTAAAGTGGGTCTATGACTAGACTCTCCCTCAGGGGTAGAAGAAGCCAATGAGGTTATACAGTTTAAGTTCTGAGCGCTGAGCCTGGTACCATCTAGGCCTCGGGTTGTCAGCCACCTCTGGCACTAGGACACCCCACTTCACTTCGAGATGTGAGGTCCTAGAAGGCCACTGAGCCCCAGAAAGTAGCTTAGTCCAAACCAAGATGTGGGGCACTATAAAACACACAAGTCAATAATGTTTATATTGACTACATATTGAAATATTTCAAGTATTTTGGGTCCAATAAAATATATTAAAATTTGTTTCACTTGTTTCTTTATATCTCTTCCTGTGGCTCCTGGAGAATATGCTGGCATTCTGTTGGAGGACACTTCTACGGTCAGTCTTGTTGGAGAGTGCCACACCTCCAGTGCCCTGTGTCACTTTTCCCTCCAGGCCCAGCCTGCGTGGTGGTCTCCTACCTTTGTCTGTAGCACCCCTAAGACCCAGACCAACTCTGCTGGGCAGGCATCATGATCCCGATGGAGAATCACAGATGGGGAAACTGAGGCTCAGCGATGACAGGTTACTCGGTAGTGGCAAAGCAGGTGCCCATGTCCCTACCTGAGCTCAGGAGAGAAGCCAGAAGCAGTGTCTAGTCGTAATGGGCAGTGACACTGGCCCACCCTTTAGTGAATTTTCTGCAGCCGAAGAGGATGAGCTGATAGGCGCTTCTGGGGATGCATGCAGGAGGAGGGGTCTCTCCAGGCTGCTGACCCCTTCCCACCCACTCCTACCCCCTACGCCTTCATCTGGACCAGGAGAAATCTATGCTTGCCTGGTGGGGGTGAGGGGAGTTGGGAGCGAACCTGGGGCCAATTATGCCATTCAGGAACCATGAAACCTAAGCCACTTCCCCTCAGTGGCTTGGAGGTCTGGACTAAGCACGGGCAATGGTAGCCACGGAAATAGAAAAACTCCCGGCCTTGGTGCCTCCAAGTCCTGCCAGGAACCGCCAGACCCAGGGCACAGGATGCTGGGGTCTAATTTCCACAGCCACTGTGCCTTTGCTCTCCTGGATCCTCACTGGAAGCACCTGCCTGTCTTCTCAGTTGGCTTATGTGGCCCATTTCTGTCCTTCCTTCAGGACTCAGATTCAATATTCTCTTCTCCGAAAGCCACCCTCCTCCGCCAGGCTGGGTTAGGCCATGTCTCCTCCCTGCATGGCCATGTCCACTTCCCAGGTGTCCATCAGGGTGACACTTCCCTGACTAGAGCCATCCCACAGAGGGCAGCTCAGAATAGGAAGGGGGGATGGTGTCGGCTGAAGGTAAATCCTGTACTGCCCTAGAAATTTTTTTTAAATCTAGAAATTTCTTAATGATTTGGTAATTTCAAAAGTATAGTTGATTATAATAGTCTAGTACATGTAGGTGACATTTCTTCCAACGTTTATGAATGTTAAGAATTTAAGTAACTTATGAACTTATGAAAATTTTCAAACATATAGAAAAGCTGAGAGATTTTTAAAGTAAACTCCCATAAAGCAGTGTCTAGATCTCACAGTCGTGTATCCACCTGCTTCCCAGCACATGACCCTGCTCTCCACTCCACAGGCAGCTGCGGTGTCAGTCCAGGCACATAGCTCACTCCGCCCTCATCTTTATGGTTGAATGCAGTAATTTCATGTTTATTGCACAGTCTCCTGAGAACATCTATGATGCTAGGTCAATAAATGTCTGTCGAATAAGAGAAAGAACAATTACAAAATCAGTGCCCATCGTGCAGATGCCTTTTTTGTATTTGAAACTTATTTTTGCCCCCAAATAGAAAATGGTTTAAGTAAACTATGACATATCAAATAATGGAAGACCTTCCACGTAAGCAACTATTTGATAAAAAGGGTTGAGTGGCCTCCCTGTTGAAGCCCCTTCTCTACACTGAGGTCTCCCCTCTACACCCTGGGGGAGGAAACCAATATTGTAGCGTTGTTTCTTTTAGTCTCAGCCCCCTCGGGCAACAGTCAATTCTTGGTTCTCCCCACGCTGACTACTGATCACACTCAGCCAGGTAACCTTTGCTCTCCTTCATACTGCCCTGTCTAGGGCACCTGGCCCCCTGGCCCCCAAGGAGAGTGTATGTGCTGTCTCAGCCTGAGTGACTACTTTCCTCCAGCCAGCCACTCGGTGACCTCCCCCTTCGATGACCTCCCAATTCAGTGCATGGTTCGTGCAGGTTCTTGGTGGTGGGGGGCAGGGGCACCACCTCCTGGCTGGCTCCTTCCTCCCCCAGGCCCAGGGGTATGGGGCCAAGGCTTTGTCCCACAAGCCTAGGGGGACATTCAAGATCTAGTTGGGTGGATAGCACAGACCAGGCTGCAACAGAGTATTTCGTCTCATCTCCCACCCTTCTCTAGAGCATTCTTCAAGGCTCTGATGCTAAGAAGCTCCAGGCCAGTTTAGCATAAGGCCCTTGCCTTGGTCCTTCTCTGTCAGAACCATCACGGCTGATTCATTTCACATGAAAGTGATCTTATCTCCCCCTAATCCACTGTGCAAGGGTGAGTGTGATGAAACCCACGTCTTAGGTGACCATTTGACTTGTTCCAAACAACTTTCTAGGGCTTCATTCTTAAATGAGACCCTGCCAAGGTCACCCAACACTTGAGGAAAGCCTTTAACATAATTTTTAAAAGGATAAAAACCACCCAAAAAGTAGGACTCTAAATGGGAACTAGATACAATGCAAGGAATGAAAGAAAAAATTTTAAATTATTCTTTAGAGGGAAGAGGTTACATCCATGAAAAGAGAACAGAATGTAATAATCAAGGAATGGGAAAAAGGAAATTAAAAATAATTGCTGAGATATTTTTTAAGAATCAGTAAGACTTTACTGAAGGTAGTGTCTCCAGAGTGAAACCAACCCATTAAGTGTGCAGCCCAGTGAATGGACAAATTGTCTAAATTAGAGATGACACTGGGAACTGGATTTCTCATGACACTGGAAGACAGAGGCCAATGGAGCAACACCTTCACTGCAGCAGGAAAATGATATCCAACCTTCCATTCTATACCCAGCCGAAATATCAATTCTGGGTAGTTTAAAACCATTTCTGACATTCAAGATCTGAAAAAACCTATTTCCTATGTGTTGTTTCTCAGGATGGTACTGGAGGAAACATGCTACCAAAACAAGCATGTAACTCAAGAACACATGGGGTCCAGAAAGCAGGGCTTCCAATGCAGGACAAAAACATAGGAGAACCCCAGCCCAATCCGTGCAGGACAACAGCAAGCTCCAGAGGGAATTCCCCTGGGGAAAAAAATGCAGAACAGATAGTGTCTGATTCTTGGAAAACTGTACTGGGAGACATTTCACAGAGTTAAAAGCTGAAGATTCAAATCGAACCAAGCTATTGAAAAAGAAAGATAATTTTTAACCTCAAGAAAAATAAGAAATTGTACAAAAAAAGACCCAGTACGCCACTTGGCTCAGCAATATACAAAGTTACATAGTGATAACAAGTATGAATTGGCAAATCGCACATTACATCAGTTTTTATGTGAAATTAAATGGAACACAGCTGTGTCCATCTACTTACACTGTTGACGGCTGCTTTTGTATTGTGACTGCAGAGCTGAATAGTCATCAGAGACTGCTTGGCCCTCAAAGCCTAAAATATTTACTATCTGGCTACCTTATAGGAAAAGTTTGAAAGCCCTAGATCAAACTAAACTATTTGAGGAATATAAGGGGAGAGGGCGAGGGTACAAATGAAGCAAACTAAAATCCTCATCTATAAGTCCAAACTCTAAGAAGAATGAATGAAGACAGCAGTGTAAGACTCTAGAAACATGGAGACAAATGCGGAAAATATTAAAAGTTGTTGCCTGCATAATGTGCAGTAGGGTTGGGGGGACAAAACTGTTTTTGTCTTAAGGCTTTTTAAGAACCATTTGATTATTTAAACTGTTTAAGTATTGCTTTGATAAACACCGCCCTTCTCCCCGCCAAAATTTTTAAACGACCGAATGGCACCATGATTTAGAGCAGCTATATCCATGTTCTGCTGGAGGTCTGGGGTCCCAGGCTCATCTGCTGCTGCCCTGGAGCCACTTAAACACCTGCAGTCCACGTGTCAGGGGTCTAAACTGGTTAACTGCCCTCTTGGCCCCATCCCCAATCCTCCTCCAGCATCTTCACTCATCCTGGGATTCTCACTCTGGTGGCCGGAAGGGACAGTTCCCCAGGGAATGAGATCTATTGTCCCCACCCCAGTAAAAACAAAGATTATCCTCTTTTCATTCCACCCCACCTCCCTCGACCCGAGGCCAAGCCGGAAAGATCAGGAGGGAGCAGTGGGCATGAGAGCTCCCCCGCCCTGCCTCAGCCCCACTCTGCTGCCCAAACAGGTGGTCCTGGGCATGAGCCAGACCTCCCCTCATCCAGGCCACCAGGTCGATGCCGTCTTCTACATATCCATTGCTTTCTAACCTGCCTCAGCCAACAGAGGCCAACAGTGCCTTGTTGGATGCCAAGAGGATACGAACCCCAGAGTGCTTGTTCCCTGGACCAGCACCCAACCTCAGGTTGCACACACATGCTACCAAGTGAGGTCCCAGCCCATCTGAAACCTGCCCTGAGGACAGTGGTGGCACATGCCCATCCCAGCTCTCACCCTTCTGGGTCTTGGAAGCACTAGACAGAGAAAGTAAAGCAGTCTGTCATTTAGCAAGAAAGAACAGACACAGAGCACAGACCCCACAAAAGATAATTTTCAATCAAGCTTTTAATGAAAAGATCATAAAATAACAGTTTCTCATCACTGTACATTAAGACTGCACGCTTCTGAATGGAGAGATCAGTTGTCGGTGAATTGCTTTTCTATGACACTTGAGGGCCGCATACTTGCAGCTCTGACCTGAATTTATCCAAACTCTCAAGGGAAGTGAACTCAATGTAATGACTAACAGCGGTGGTGGCTAGTACAGGAGTGCGATCATGGTGTCCTCCCCCCTTTCTGGGAAGGACACAAAATAGGACATGATCCCTCTTCCAATTGGGATTAAACAAAACAGCTATAACCCCATCCCTCTCCCTCCCCCTCGAGGTATTTATGAATGGGTCAATGCCCAACCTGGGGTCCCCCAAGGGGGAAGGGGAAAGCAAGTGATAGGTGGGGTACAGAGAGGTTCCCCTCAGCACCTGGCCCCACAGGGCCCCGCCAAGTGGAGGGGGGGGAGCCCTGGGGATCCTCTCTGCCCCAAGTGAGGTCTGTTATGCAGCATTTTTGAGGTCAATAAATTACAGCAATAAATAGCAAGGTGAGGTAGGGGGAGGAGTTCCTGGTAGAAAATTAAAGTGAGGTGACTGAAGCTGGGGGATCCTGGGCAGCCTCAATTCCCACAGCACACACCCACCCCCCGATTTGGAATGTCAGACTGAGGCTCTGGGTTAAGTCCCTCTCCATCCCCTCACTCCTGGCATTGGATTCACAGGTTCAATGACATCTGCCCCAACGTGACTCTAAGGAACAGAGCTAGGGCCTTGGTCCCTTGAGGGGGCACGGCAAGGCTGAGATCCCTTGTTTGTTCTGCTTTTGTCCCACAAGCCTAGGGGGACAGGACGGATGCGGCCACCTCTTCCCTGAGCCCTGCTCTCCTGGCTGCCCAGGCCTCACCTCAACTCAGGACAGCTTCAGGGAGGGAGGCAGGGTCTGCCCGCCCAGCCAACCAGCCCAGATCGCACTCCTGTACTCAGCCAAGTCCAGTGAATACTGACAGGGTTGGGCAGAGGACAGCCCAGTGCCCCCCAGTGGTGACAAATGGGAAACACACACATGGCTGCATGAGGTTCTGAAAAGTCAGTCTAGGTCCAGATTGTTCATTTCACAGGCTGAGGTGTATGGCTATGCTGTGAGTCTCTGAGATTTGTTTAAAGGTTCATCTTTTCTTTTTTGCCTTTTTTGCAATCCTGGATGAGCCCTTGCAGTGGCTCGGTCTGGTGGGAACGTACTGTGGCAGAGCCCGGCCTGCCACTTGCTTGCCCCAAGTCTGAGAAATAAATACATTCATCACTGCACAAACATATTGATACAAAAACAACACTGTTCAGAGTGTTTGCACCGTCTGTGTTAGTAAGGACCAGTCCCAGTGATACCTTCCTGCTGCCAGTGGGCAGGGAAGCGGGGGGTGGGGAGAAATCCCCTGAGGGTCAGGGACCAGCCAGAACCATGGAGATGCAAAGGTCCTGGCTTTTTGGCTTGAGGGACTCTCACATCAACCCATCCCAGGGTCACGGACAGAGCAGCAGGGGGTGGGGGTGGGGGTGGGGCTTTGCCTCCATCCCAGGGCCCAAGCCCAGACAAGGGTCCAGTGGCCAGAAGGCCGGTCAGCACTGGCCCAAGCTCTTTGGTGCCAGCTGGGCTTGGAGAGGCCCATGGCTAGGAGGGCTCAGGTGAATCCGGGGGGCCTCACACCTGCCCCGGGCCCCCGGCTGCTCCTCAGTCCGCGAGCTGTTCCAGGGCTGACTTGGAAGGGCCTCTAGCAGAAGGTAGAAACTCACTGGAACTGGCCTTACAGCTGCTGAGGTCTGAAACTGTAAAAGTTTATGTAAACAATGAGATAAATATATTAGTATCTTTTTTCTGAGCCTGTTGAGGTTCCATACTCATTCAAAATGTGCTTTGGTTTAAAAAATAGGTTTTGTGAATTTGGGTATGAGCTTTTTTTTTTTTCTTTTCTTTTTTTCTTTTTTTTTTTTGTTGTTTATCCTCTCTTTCCTACATGACATCTGCTATTTTCTGTTTCCTGTTTCTCCGAAACATTCAGGAATTAAGTGACTAAAGCAGAGAACTGTAAGCCGCCCTTGGCCTCCAACGGCCTAATTTCCTTGTGAGGCTCTTAACACACCTCCACGCACACTCTCGAAAGCACACACTCCACATGAAATCAAAGGAAAAAGAAAACAAAACCAAGTGTTGTGTCAATCCCGACCCTCCCCGCAAACCCTTAAAATCTTAAATAGGAAACTAGTGTTTTGCTTTCTTGTTAAAATACAGAAAAGGCTCGATACAATACTCAGGTGGGTACAATACTACGTCGCACAAACGTCGTTGAGTGAGGGGCCTTTGCGCCCAGTCCCTGAAGCTCTGCAAATGAATCACCTACTTTCACAAGTCACCTCACGTTTGCGGCTGCCCACAGCGCAGGAGGCCACACACAGGCCGGGTGTGTGCATACCTCCCGCGCAGTACAGACTTTGTGTCGTGTGGTTTAAGTGCTGATGGAGTGGGGAGGGGTCAGGGGAGCAGAGGGACCTGGGACAGGCCCTGCCCCCTCACTGGCCTGCTGGAACAAGAGACCCTGGGTCCAGTCCTCCGTTTCCCACCCAAAGGGAAGAGGAGCTGGCTCAGGGTTGGGGGCGCCACATGGAGGGCTCAGCCAGGAGCCCTCACTCCCAAAACACGCCATTCACCACTCGGGTCCCTGAACTCAGGCTCTGTTTTCAGCTGGAGGGTCTCTGGAGGGGTGGGGGGATAGGGGATGACTCCGGAATTTTTTGGTCTGAACTTAAAATAGAAAGAAAAAAAGAGGTAAAAGAATGAAACGAAAAAGATAAAGCCGCTGGCCCAGCCTTGTGGCTCCGGTCAGCTGAGGACAGTGGAGCCGACTGCAGCAACCTTGGTCTGGCCTTCAGAGCCGGGTTCTATGCCCGCGGAGGTGCCTGAGGCTGGCAGAGAAACCCCAAGGTGAGGGGCGAGGGGCTAAACCCCAGACAGGCCTGGGCCCACGTGAGGCAGCCAAGCCTTCTAACAGAGTGGCTGTGGGCCACAACTGCCTAGAGCCAAGGCCCAAGGAGGGCAGGTCCCCTCCCTGTCCCCCAGGGGGTACAGACGCTTCAGCCAGCCCCTCCCTATGACTCCACTAAATGGGGCTGCCACTCAAGCTCTTGCATGCCTAGGGGACAGGATGGGGGGGGCTCACTTCCGCCTCATCCTGGCCCTGGCGAGAAGCTCCCACGGAGCTGGAGCACTCACACCCTCACCTGCGCCCCAGGATGGAGCTGTGGGGGTTCCCTGGCACTCAGCTGCACACTCAAACCTCTCAGGGTAGCCTCGGCTAGCCCTGTGCTCAGGAGAAAACCCACACAGGAACCTGGAGACTCCGAAGCTGCAGGAGCCCACTGAGAGCGTGTATTTGGGGGCGCCCAGCTGGGACTCAGTCAAGCCCAGGAGGGCTTCCCAGCCACTGCGAGCCTGGCTCACTCAAATGCACGTCTTCTTGTGCGCACTAATGGGAGGAAAACAAAAGTGTCACAGCCTCAACTGCCAGTCACCAACTTACTGTTCTCATGAATTCAAGAGGTAGCAAAAGGTCAGAAGTCTCTCCACCTTGACAGGTAAGGAAGAAGGAAAGCGCAACGTCTGTCCACACACACCGCGCACACCACACACACAAAGAAAAGGAAAATGAGAGTACCAACGGCCCTGGCGCCCAGTCCAGCCTCCCCCCTCCCCCCACGAACCCCAGACCTTCCAGTTCAAACATTCACATAAACGTTACACTGGTTTTTCTCTTAATAAAAAACAAGTACCTCTAAACAAAGATTCCTCGGAAACTATAGGAAAAGCACTCTCTCTCCTGAGGCAGCCGAGGCGGGGCTCGGGGCCCAGGGAAGCCTTTGGCCAAGAAGGGCTTCTGGGGCCTGGAGGGTGGGCGCCCTGCGGCCTGCAGCCGGGGCGGGGGCGGGAGGGGCAGCTGCCCCATACATTCAGTCTGCAGACCCAGGCTCAGCCCCCGAGGGGCCGGGAGGAAAATAAACTCTTGTTGGTTTTGGTTTAAAAAACAAAATTCATAAAGAAAAAAGGAACAGATCAGTAGGAATAACAGCAACACAGGCCCGGAGGGCTCTTTAGTTGTGGAGAGGTAGGTGGTGGGGGCCCCCCTGGCTCGAGAAGAGAGGGCTCCATCCCCTCCCATCCAGCACTGCTCCCCATAGAGCCAAGGTGGCCCGCACACGGACTCGCACTAGTGCGCGCAGGGACACTGGCCCTGGCCACGGGCAGCCCTGATCCTCCCAGCATGGGGAGAGGTCCCCACTACCCCCTGCTCCAACCTGACCTGCAGGGGAAAAAGGCCAGGTCCCTGAGAACCCCGTGACCCACTCCCACAGGCCCTGAGGCGGCCTTGGTCAGGATCCGGAGGTAGACTGCACATCCACAATACACCTGCGGGGCTTGGGACCTGGCCTCCTTCCGCTCTCTTCCCTTGGTACAGACTGTGGATTAAAGCTCTGGGTGGGGGGGCTGGCCAGAGGTGCTGCCAAGAGCCACCCCCGCTGGACCTGGGGTCCGGGTCCGCCCACTCGGCCTCCTTGCTTCTTCCTTCCGTTGTTCCCGAGGGCGAGTCTGCAGAGGGCACCCAAGGGCCGGAGAAGGTCTTTGGCTTCTAGGAGGGGGAGGTGTGCATGCGCAGGTGGCTGATGAGGTTGCGCTGCTGGGTGAACTTGCCCCCGCAGAGCTGGCACTCGTAGGGCTTCTCACCTGAGTGTACACGCATGTGCTCGGTCAGGCGGTACTGGCGGGTGAAGCGCATGCCACACTCGTCACAAGCAAAGGGCTTCAGGCCCAGGTGGCTGCGCATGTGGCGTGTCATGGTGCCGCGCTGTGTGAACATCTTGCCGCAGATGTTGCAGGGGAAGGGCCGAGTCAGCCAGTGCGTCTTCTCATGCTGCCGCAGGGTGGCTGGGTCCTTGTAGGTCTTCTCACAGACTGAGCACTTGAAGGGCCGGGGCTCAGCTGCATAGGCTGTGCTGGGTGCTGACAGGTCCTCGGCCTCCTCCTCGGCGCCCCCACTGCCCGTTTCGTAGGCACCTTCCTCCTTGATGAACAGCTCCTCCTCCGTGTGTGTCTCCACGTGGGCGTTGAGCTGCTCAGAGCTGGGGAAGCCTTTGGCGCAGGGAATGCACACGTACAGGTTGTCCCCGTAGGACACTGTCTCGTAGCCCTCCTGCCGGTACATGTAGTGGGCGCTGGTATGGCCGCTACCCCCCTCGCTCCCACTCTGCCCGCTGTCCTCACTCCCGTCCTTGCCATTCTCCTCTTCCTCCTTGCAGGGGAACGGGGGATCCCCATAGGGCCCACTGGGGCCGCCCCCCGCCACACTGTTGGCCAGGATGCCGTTGGGAACCCTGTCCCCGAGCCCCTCGCTCTCTTCCCCTGGGCAGGGGCCCTTGGGCCCTGCTTCTCTCCGCTCAAAGGGGGAACCGGCCATGGGTTCCTTCTTGCTCCACTCCTTCTTGCGGGCAGAGTGCCGGAGGCTCTTCCGGGGCTGCCCGCCGGGCCCCTCCAGCAGGCTCAGGTGGTTGTCCTCAGCCCCCTCCAGATCCATGGGCTCACTGGGGGTGCCCCCCAGCTCAGCGTAAGAGGCACTGTTGGCAATGGGAGGGGCAGAGGCTGAGAGGGGAGAGCCATGCTGACTGTCGCTCAGCTGGGCTGGGTCATCAGGGGTGAGGGGGGGACCAGGGGTGGCGGGAGGCAAGGGGGGACTCTTCTTGGACAGGTCCAGGCCCAGCTCCTGCTCGCAGCCCCCACTGCTCCCGTTGGTGCTACAGCTGCCCAGGCCGGCCTCCCCACTGGCTGGACAGACAGCCCGGACCAGGCCGTGCACACTCTCCTGGTTGGAGCCACCGAGGAAGAGCTCGTCATCTGAGCCTTTGGCCTGGGGGAGCTCTTGGGGGGTGTGGGCCCCTTTGCGCCCATCCATGAGCCCTGGATACCGAGCCTGGATGACGGAGGCTGTGGACAGCCGTTGGCTGCGGGGGGGCCGTCCCATGCCGGCGGCCCCCACCCGTCCAGAGCCGAACGGCTTGCCGGCGCGCTTGAGTTTGCGGCGGCAGAGGGCTGCCAACTCAGGCAGCTGGAGGTAGCTGGCGGCAGTGAGGAGAGTGCTGAAGTTGGGTTCGGCCGGCTGGTCGCTGGGCAGCAGCTTGCCTGTATAGATGAAGTCCAGGATCTGCTGGAACACTGTGGAGCTGACCATGTCCGTGTCCAGGTTGATGAGGTTGTCATGCAGGACCAGGGACTTGAAGTAGATGCTGCTGGCAGCCAGGACGTTCTTGTGGGCCCGGAAGATGGAGTTCTCCACCATGATGATGACGTCACACAAGAAGCCCTTTGTCCTCTGCTGGTTCAGCTGCAGTAGGAGCTGTTTTGAGTGGCTGGGCAGCTCCATGTCGGGCCCCATGTCCCCGCGCCCTGCCCACGCGTACCACCTGGGGGCAAGAACAGGCACGCGCACATTAGCTGACCGGCACCCTCGTGCAAGGGTCAAGGCGAAGGTGTGCCACAGTGGCACTCAGAGGGACCTCCGTGCTGACTTGCCTAATGACAACCTTCTGGGTACAGTACATGGGCAGGGAACTCACAGTGGCCACTGAGGACTCACTCTGCCTGAGAAGGTCTGGGCCCCATTTGCACCAATAAGAAAATGGAAGCAGGGCAATGAAAGTCACTCAGTCCCAAGTAGAGAAACTGGGACTGAACTTGGGTCCACAGCCCAGGGTACTATCTCCATGCTAAATGAAGTCCACGGGGGACCCAAAAATGACCAGCAGAAAACTATGAGGTGCTGGAAACTGGCAGGGACTAAGGAGAGCAGGCTTGAGTAGGCCGACTTCTGTGAGCATGCAGCTTCCTAGCTTTGAGGACAAGCTAGAAATTCAGATTTTTAAGTGAAATCTCTCAATGCTAAATGAAGGTCCTTTTCCCTAAAAACCATGTGGGCCAGATCAAATATGCAACCTCTGGTGTGTAACCTCTGTTCCACACTGGGCACCTCTCAACAACCCTAGAGGCTTCCCAAGCTTTGAGATTTGCCAACATCACATTACCACCTCCCAGACACTGCAGCCCATATGACATCCCTCACAAGTACCTCCCCCCACCACATAAGGGCTTCACCCCTGGGTGGGCACAGAGACTGGTCTGGGCCTCTGGGTGCTAGGCAGAAAAGGTGACCTGGCCAAGGCCCTGGCACTGCCTGGGTCCTGGGTCCTTTCTGTGCAGGGCAGTGCAGTCTGGACCTGGAAAAGATGGTCAGCTGGCAACATCAGACTGGTGCAGACACTAACTGATGTCATTAAATAATAAACGTGCAGAGGCCTCTGGCCTCCTCAGGAACCCTGCGGGCTAGGCTGGCTGTATATGTGGCAGGGTCTACGACACAGGGCCATGGGTCCCCACCCTCTCCAGCCCCTCAGGAAACATGAACCATCCCACAGGCAATTCTATATGACAGAGCTGATAAAGGTACCTTCACCTTCTGCTCAGGGCCCAATCTCTGAGAGTAACTAAGTGCTCTGAGCCTTGCCCCAACTGGGACATCCTGCCTAGAGGTACTGTAGCCCCCCTGCCACCCTGTGACACAAACGCTTCCCCTTGCCCCACACCTGCACTTGTTTGCAAAGATAAAAGGAAACCCTAGCAATCATTCACACCTCAAAGGTGGCTTCGGAGCTTGCCCTGAACACACGTGAGTGTCAGACCCCACCAGGGCCTGACAGCAGGAGGCAGCAAACATCTCCTAGGACAGCCCAGTTCTGCAAGGCTGCTAAGCCAGGGCTAAGAAGCTGGAGCCCAGATCCCATGGGAACCAACCTTCTGTTACCATGGCTTCCACACTGTCCAGAACACCTGGCCCAAAGAAAATGCAACGTCAACTCTACCAACACCCAGGACGCCTGGTGCTCTGAGCCTGGCAAATAGATGGGTGAGGTCAGGAGGTCTCATCTTCCAAAAGCCTGTGAGCCCACAGTGGCCCCTCCTCCCCATACCCCAGCCTCCCCTTCATGCTGCCCAGCACTGCATGCACGCAAAAGACTGCAGGCCAGGATGCAGACTCAGAGCTTCGGGGCTGTGGGCTGCCCAGAAAGCCTCCAGCAGGAGCAGGTGGATGATGTTCTCCCTCCCCTATGCCTCCCTCACCCTTCCCTGGCCTACCGGAGTGCCAGGGGCCCAGAAACCATGTGAGCAGCAGCCAGCGGGGGTGGCCTCCTTGAGCGCGTGGCCTCCGTTGGGGGTGCATCAATGCCTGGTCACCTGAGGAGAAGATGGACATGGTCACCCAGACAGCCATCATCTAGAAAGCGACGGACAGTGAAGAAGGTGCTCAGTAGCCCTGGAGCCCTTGCTCCCAGGAAGGTCTAGGGTCTCTCTGGCTGGGATGCCAAGGGCAGCCAGCTGAGCAGAAGAGTGGCCACAGTCCCCCACCATCAGGCCCAGAGGCAGAGAAGGTAGCTGGTCTAAGGCGCTGCACCTTCTTCCACCCAGGAGAGTTAGGGTAGTCCGAGGGCCACCTAGGACTAAGGAGCTGGGGGCAGTCACATAATTCTTGGTGGGTGTGGTGGCAGGAGGCCTGGGCAAGGCCCTTCCCAGGCTGGCCACATTTACATAACAAAAGGTCAAAATTGGAGACTGGTGCAATAGGCTATTTATAAGAACCAGTCTCAACCGCTTCTGGCTCTCCCGGCCTCCTTCCCTTCCAGATCTGCTCTCGCCCCCTCCCTGCCCAGAGGGCCCAGCCCCCTCCTGCTCAGCCCAGCCTGACCACATGGCCTCCCCTCACAGAAGTTTTCGCAAGCTCGGCCTTTCAATACCAGCCTGCCAAAGCTGCTAGCAGCTGCCACCAGATGCGGGTGGGCTCCGGCTCCCCACTGCCCCTAGCTTTGGGCCCCATGGGACAGGGTCCTGAGGTTCTGGCTCCTTGCACCCCACTCAGACAGGCCTGGACTCCCCTGGAATGGAGCCAGGGTGGGGGAGGAGGCCTGCAGCAGCCTGGAGCCCATCCCTGCCTGCCCTTCCCCCACCCTCAGGGCCAGGGAGGCTCAGCAGGTCCCTCAGGAATGTGACCAGACCCGGGGTGCGGGGTGGCTGGGAGGCCTCAGCTCCAGCCTGCCAGCTGTCTCTCTGGCCCCTAGCACAACTCCCCTCTCACAGGGGTGGCCTAGGCGGGAGGGAGACAGTTTGTCCAGGATCCCACCAATGGCCCAGAGGGCAGCAGAACCAGCTCTGTAGGTCCAGCGGCCTGAGAATGTCCACATTTAACGAGGACAGCCTGGGCCTCTCACCTGTGTGGAGAGACCAGGCTCCCCCACTGGGTGAGGCCAGAGATTGCCAGTGGGACAGAGTGGAGCCCAGAGTCTTGGGGAATGGAGCAGAGCCCACTGCACCGCTGGTGATTGGCCAGTAAGAACTGACAGAAGCCTCAGCTGACCAGATGCCCGCCACACAGCCCTGTGCCACCCTGCCTACTCCTCTCTGGACAACCCAAGCCCTGGCCAGGCAGAGTATTTGCCCACTGGCCTCCACCTCAGCAAGTGCCAGACCTTGTAACTAGATAGAAGTTACTCGCCCTTGTCAGGATCAGGCCAACAACTACTAGATGTGTGCAGGCAGTGGGTGGCAGAACAGGACTCAGGCCTCTCATTAGGTGCCCGCTGCCCACCCCTGCCAGGCATTTCACTGGCCTATGGACGGCCGAGTGGCTGACCAAGGTTTCCCGAGCTAAGTAAGACTTGATTCCTCTCAAGCCTGACTTCCCCACAGGGACACTCAGCAGGACAGGGCAGAGCCAGCCTGCTGTGAGCTCATAGCCAGCTTGATGCTGCCATGCGTGCCACCTACACCAGGCTGGGCCAAGTGTGGGTACCCACTGTGCCTGTAAGCCATGAAGTAACCTCACAACAGGTGTGGTAGTGTCCCCCTGATGCAGGGCCAGGACCCCTATGAGGCATTGCTCTTCTCTTCCCAGTAAAATGATGACAGCCAGAGACCTCTGCCCTCCCACTCACTGTCGGGTGTGGGAACAGCAAGCGTCTACCCTGGAGAGGCCACAGTTATGGTGGCAAGGTGCCATATAAGTAAAAACATGGCTGTGGGGGCTGGTTCGGCAAGCTGGCAGCACTACATCCCACTGGGTACAGGGGCTGGTACCCAGCCCTAGCAGGAGCCTGCCACAGGCTGGAATGAGGATACCACCTGGCACCCAGCAGGCCCCTGGCAGCGGGCCCAGGCAGTATGCCTATCAGCCCCAATGATCCCATGCCCAGCTCAGGCCCACTGCCGGCCCAGAGCACTGGCTCCAGGAAACCCAGGATCTGGGGCAGTGGGACAGTCAGGTTCTGTTCGAAGGCCAAGAACTGGCCCTTCCCAGGTGGATGAGTGAATGTCCCCAGCTGGGCTGACTCTAGCAGGGGAGGGCAGGAACACAAGTCCCTGAGTGAGTCCCAGCTCTGCCCTCTTGTGAACACAAAAGGTGTAGGGGAATGAGCAGAGAGAGACCTGGCTGAAGACCGGGATCACCCTTCCCAGGTCCTTCTCTATCGAATGGTCAACACCCACCTACCCAACAGGATGGTTACCCCACAAACTAGGACAGGTCCTTACTCAGTTCTCCTTTCCTTTTCTTCCCCTCCAGGCCCCTGCCACAGAAAAGCCAGAGAGGCAAGCCCCCAACACACAAGTGGCAGACCCAGAGCGCAGACACCACCGGCAGCACACGCCTGCCTAAGGGAAGGCTAGGCCCTTCCCGTTGAACCAGAGGGAGCTGGCAAGAACCTCCCGGACCCCCTCTGCTGCTCCTTCCCCGTCCACCCTCCTCCACTAAAGGAATAGAAGGCCCCACTAGGCAGTGTCACCCCATGGAAAGAAATACCTTGGCACACACACCCAATTGCTAAATGAGGTTATCTCTGGGGGGGTGGGATTACTCATTTACATCAAGTTCTAGAATGAGCAGAACTAACCTATGGTAGAGACAAAATCAGGACAGCCTGTGGAAGGTGAGGTGAGCACTGTCTAGGAAGAGGCATGAAAAACCTGGGGTGAGATCGGCTCTATATCTTGTTAGGAGCCTGGGTTAAGGGGTCACTTGAGATCTGAGCACCATGCTGTATGTAAATTTTACCTCAAACAGGGAAAAAATAAACTGAAAAGGACAGAAAGAATAGAGGCTTTCTCAGGAGCTTAACACTAGCTAACATTTACTGGGTGCTGCCCTACGCCAACTGCACTAGCCTTGTGGACCCCCCGCCCGCCCCCCAGGAGTCTGTGTGCTCTGCACTCACTCCACTCTCATCTTTATACACACAGCCTCTGCCCCAGCAACCACCCCAACAGCTCACCTCTCACCTCCCTGTGAGGCAGAAAGGGTAGGAGCTGGCAGTGTGGAGGTACGTGTCATCTGTGGCCGTGGGTGTGACCCCCCTCCCCACTGCTGCTTTCCATCCCACCCATGGCTACCAGTTCAGCCTTATAAGTCTGGGCACAAGAGAAGTGGCTCATGAAGGCAGAGTGACCACGATGGCAAGAGATCTCTGTCCCTCCTGCCTCCTCCCTGTTTGGGCAGCCCTCATTCATCACCGGCAGTCCAAGCCCCAATCAATGATACCCTGCACTCCCCCAAGGCAGCCTTGATTTCTATACCCCCCAAATACGCATCAACCAAAAGGCCAATAAGGATGGCAGAGGCGGGGCCCATAACCTCCTGACCCATGGAGCAACACCCCATGGGGCCCCCACTTGTCCATGATCCCAGAGGCAAGGAAAGGCCCCACCCACCCTAGGCAGTCCACATGGCCAGAGGGGTTAGAATGGGGCCACCTCAAGGCCTCTCTTCCTAGCTCCCACAAAAAACAGGAGAGCATGCTCTGACCCCACACCTTTCAGAGGCTGTGAAAAGAGGTTTTAAGATGAAAGTGATCCTTAAACAGAAAGCCAAAAACAACTCCAACCCCCCGACAACACACGCATTCTGACAGGAGCTGCCCCAATTCAGCCTGCGTACCCATGATGCCAAGAGCCTGGGTTCCAGGAGGCCCGGACACTCGGAACTGCACCAGTCATTTGGCCTCCAAAGGTACGTTCTGGAGACCAGGCCAACAGCCCCGGGGACAAAGAATCACATCCCATGCCCACCTCTAGCCCCTCTGGTGGGGGCCACACTCAGTGTGTGGTTTCCAGACCCTCATGAGCAGAGCCCCCCAGAAGAATGCTGTCCTTTACTCCTACAGGCAAGAACAAGCTCCCCCAGAGGCAATCGCAAGAACCTTGATTGAAACACCACCCGATTTCAGGAAACTTCCTCCGGCCCACACCCAGCCAGGACAGAGGGCTCTGAAGAGAAGGGCAAAGGACAGGGAAAGGGGCCCTCACCCCCAACCCTGGGCAGGCCTCTTTGCCCATATCTCCTGGGAACCTCCTCACCCCACCTCCCTCCCTGGCGTCCCCCCCTCACTTCCCCTCAGGAGGCCTGAAGCTATGCTCCCCAGGAGCAGCTCCTGCCCAGCCCACCCCAAGGTGTCCAATGGGAGACAGTTTCTCCACCTTGACCACCTTCTGGTCAATAAACACCTGATCAGAAGTAACAGAGTGACACATGAATCACCTAGCTCAAAGTGGGGGGCCTGCCCATTGACCACCTAGAGCTCCACTGCCAGGTGGGAGGCACTGGCATGTCAGGCTGAGGGGGTGGTGCTGGGTGTGGCCACCTGGCAGGTTCCACAGCCCCAGGTGTTTAATCACACCAGACTATGTCAAAGAAGACTCCAAAAACACTGGCCACTGCCCCAAGCCTGAGTCCCAGGTCAGGACAGGCCCTTGCCCCAGCCAAACTCTATAGTGGTTACCTGGTGCTCAAGGTATGGGCCCCAAGAGCTGCAGCACTGCCTCTGCCCTGAAGGCCTGGCCCTTCTATATTTGCAGGAAAACAGCTGGAGGGCAGAGTGGACACTGCCTGAAAGGTACAAGCAGCCCAGGATCCGGAAGAGCCTAAGGCCCAGCCCCCAACCCACCCGCCAAGCCCGCGCATCCATAAGTCCAGGACTCCATTCACCTCATCTCTATGGCCTCTTCTCAACTTAACCAAGGAAGGAATCCTCAGTGAAGCCTTTCCCATCACAGCAAGCCAGGAGCCTCTCCCCTTTACTACTGGGTCCGCCACACCTCACCCTGCACCAGTCTGCCCTGTGAGAGGGCAGCCTGCCTATGGGGAAGACTCTAAGGTATTACCTCCACCTCCAGGGGCAGACAAGTAACTTGCCAAGGTCATAAGAGCAAGCAGGTGGTAGAGTGAGGACTCAAAGCAGGAGTACAGAGCTGCTGTCAGACTTTCCCTATCCCAGAGACAGATACTGCAAGCTCCCTACCCTAGGAAGGGGCAGGGGTGCTGCCTTCCACATGGGAAAGCCTTGGTTGCAACTCCACCCTCTTCCCCCCCTCCCCCCATAGCAGGGCCTCACCTGAGCCATGTCCTTCTGACTCAGTGTGAGGGCGCAGGGTCAGCCCACCTCCACTACCCTGGGGCAGTAAGGAGCTTCTGGCTAGAAGCCACAAGGTGTGGCCCTTCATGCAGCCTACTTTGGGGGCCCCTGGCTGCTCCTGCAGTTCCTCTGGGAATACCCCTTGCCTCCATGATCTCTCTGGCCTGTGCCTCCAG